CAGTAGGCAGCCATTTTTTTTTTTTTTTTTTAGTACTCACAATCATGCTGCTCCTCATTGTCGCCGTCCTGGCAGGAACCACAATGCCAATTTTATAAACCACCACTGATGATAACAAGCAGGTGTTTATACATGTGTGAAGGTACTGGGTGCCTCGCATCAATGCAGAAGGGTCACTCTTTATTAGCAGTGCTAAAATAAGGGGTCATTTCTGGATACCTCCGTGAGGCAGTTAATGCAAGGGTTATAAAATAGGCTGAGTGTGGAGAAAAATATATCAGTTATTAAAAAATAAAAGTAATTTAAACATAATAGATTTTTTGGTGACAAAAAGTATATTTTAAATATATTTGGCTCATTAAAAAAAGAAATAAAAGGGTTAGAAAAAGTAAAAACAATAATAAATGTATTGGATATTTACTAAAAGAAAAAAAAACAGCATTCCAGTAAAATATTATTGCTGGTTATAAGGTTTGTAAATAAAGAATACAAATAAAAGTGCAGAGATAAATTACAACAGTTAAAAATAAAGGAGAAATATATGTTCATGTCAAGTAATTAATTGATTTTAAATAAATCTCTTATTTTTAGGTCTGTTGCATTTGATGACTGACTAATTAAAATGTCAAGATATTAATTGGCAATGGGGCTATTTTTAAGAGTTTATTCATTTTTTGGCTTTTTTTTTTACTATGGCAGGTTTGGTTCTCCATACAAAACGACAGCAGGGATTATTTCCCCTCAAATGATAATGAAATGTTTGCTTTCTGTCCCATGAATGGATTAAGAATTTGTATTTTATTATTTAAAGCTGCTGCGGGGAAGATGCATCCAAAATGTAAAATGCAGACAGGTGGAAATGAGGAGAAACATGATCGGGTTTTATTTGTCCGCTGATCCGGTCCTGTCCCGGGCAGCTGCAGGAGGCTGCAGGCCCAGATGCGGGGAACCTCTGCAGCTGCAGCAGGATGCACAGTGATGAGCAGTGCGGCAGGCAGCCTCTCAGCAAACTATTATTAAAAATATATGTCTCCTATCTCGCTCATGCATCACTTTCTACTTTGGAGTACTTAAAAAAAAACTTCATTATATGACATGAAAGGTGAACAGCTTTTATACGATATTGACAAAGCAGTGTGTAGTAAACTAAGTTATAAGAATTTTAACAGGTGCAGCGACGCAACTGCGCAGAACATGCACTATATAAGACACTTTAGCAATAATAAATACCCCCGGAATTAGATTAGGTTTAATCTAATGAAATGCATTATTTAAACAGAAATATTCTCCTAACATGCACATATCTCGTTGCTCTGAATGTCAAAGTATAAACGTGTTGACAGCCTTTTTTCTCCGCGGTCACAGCGAAACATTTTACCTTCTGATGGATCTCTGTCCAGGCGGATCCCGCTCATCCCTCGGTCAGGTCGCTCAGTCAGGATGTGTCGGTCTGCGCGTCTCTCGGCTGTCACCCTCCTCCCCCACCAGCACCCCGGCTTCCCCTGTGCGGTGTCTCCGGTCGCTTCTATTGAAATCCACACATTTCCTTCACTGCAGCAGCAGCGGCACATGCTCAGATGGACTCACGCTGCTCTAAGCTTTGCTTAACCGTTTCTTCACCGCAGCTCTTCTGGACTGACCGCCAAACTGCTGATTGGTGCATGATGCCTGAGCTTCACTTGGTTCTTCACCGGCGGTTCTATATAGGGGCCCACCGGGCAGTGGCACTGCCA